TCCACAAAACCATCATGCGTCTTGGCTACAAAAATATGCTAGATAGTAGATACGAAACTGTCATTCAGTTGCTTGGAAAAGAGCCATAGTTATACTATCCTCTATTTAGTTCAATGGTGACGGAAGAAGGCTTTGCCTTGACTTCATCAAGATGCACTGCTGGACTGCGCCATTCTGCCTGTCTGTTTCTGAATGATCTGAAGCAAGCGTTGTTGCTTCTCGTACAGTTTGGCAGATTCTCTAGTGCTGGATTTGAGTTGCAACATTAGCCGGATGAATGATTGCTTCCGTTTCAAATACACGCACCATTCTTTGCGACACTTTTGAGGGACGTACTCCAGGGCTGTCCAACCACGTGAATCTGGTGCCCACAACAGCTCTGGTGAGTCAGCCAACAAGATGGAAGCAATCTCCAACTGGGGAGGATGTGTAAACCAACAAACTTCATGGAGCAAAGTCTTGCCAGACTTGTCCCTCACTCGGAGGGGTACTTTGGCTTGCTTGGCCAGGAACTTCATTACTTTCGCTGCTCCTTCACGGCTTGCAAGATGAGAGAGTCGTTCTCCATACTTATTCTGGCAATTCCAGCTGAACATGCCTCTTTTATGGAGCTTTTGCAGTGCTTCAGGATCATCCTTATGCAGTGCCTTGATGACCTTGGAGGGGAACTGATCCATTGTGGCACTGGGAAGTGGATCAAAGTATTCCTCCCACGAGAATGAATCATTGGGCGTGGAAACATCCTTGAGAAGAAGCTTCAGACAGTCTGACGGTTTGCCCGAAAGCAGTGGATCATCGTGTTTCTTTTGTTTCTCGCTTGTGCTGATGCTTTGCGAATCTTCTGATACTACGGAAGGTGTACCGGTAGGGGGTTTCTTAGTACTGGTAGTGACTGCCTCTGCCTCTGCCTCTGGGGCTGAACCTTTCTTCTCCAAGAAGGCCTCCAATGTGCCTGCTGCTTGTTTTCCCCTCAAGAGAGGAAGGATCGAGGCGCCATCCAGAAGTGTTGGCATTCTTTTAAAGCAGCTCATGCTACTACCGGTACTGGTACTACTGCTGGTTGCTTTGGGCTTCCTGTGGTATTCAAAATTACGCAAGTCTTTGGCAATGTCATCCCACGAGGAATCTACTGATGTCATAGAGAGGATGCTGCCAACAGACCCGCTTGAAAGGCGATGTTTAGTTGCTGCTAATCTAGTTTCATGATTGTAATGGTACTGGGAGGGCAGAAAGTTAGCGTTAGAAACGTTGCATGCACTCTGTTGGTCATGGTGACCGTTGCAGCTCAGTGGGCATGGCATCATTGTGCACTAGTCTAGCTTGCTAGTAGCTGCTGCTGTAATGGAATTGTGAGCAAGTTCTTTCACAAGGCACCTCCCTTGCTTTCCAACCCCTTTCGTAGCTACTTGTTGGGGGCACGGGTAATACTGGGCGGGCTATGCATCTCAAGAAGAACCAAAGTATCCAAGGTGACCAACTTAAAAAGTTAGTTGCTGTAGCGCAACATGAGCGATCCACCCGTCGTCACGGTCCCGTACCAGTACTGCTGGGCTATCAGCAATCAGCAACACCTTTAAAATGCTGCCAGGAACTCGTCTTGCCGGAGCTGAGAAAGCAAGCAAAGTGATTAAAAAGACGCTGCGGAGGTCTGCGGACCTAAAGTGGTACGGCACTCCAGCTGGAGCTACTATAGCTGGCTTCGTGAAGCTTTGGAACCCAGAGTAACAGTCGTCTGATGAACTATGCGGCAGTGCACCTCCCACCTTGGACTTTTGGCCAATGCCACTCCCAGCCAATCTTGGACTTTTGTTGCTTTCAGCTACGGTGAGTACAGTACTAGCTAGACTCTTCGGGTCATCTAGTACTGTAGTAGCTAGCCAGCTGCTTCTGCTGCTGGAGCAGATTCAAAAGCTTCGTGCTTGTAGTTGTAGACACCTCAGTCGCCGCTGGAGTGACAATCAAGCCGTTGACCTTTACTTACTTTTTACTGTTCGGATAGTATTTCATTTGCGAGATCGAACTGGGCTTCGGTGAACGAAATGTGCAATAAGTGCTGTTCTCCTAACTCACCACGTAAGTGATCGATTTGTTCCTCAGCACGCCTTGGTGTTCGTGCAAGTATTCTCGATGAATATTGCCCTATTGCTCCCCACGAGAATGACTTCAATCGGATCTAACCCAACACGTCAGCCACCGCAATACCCCCCAATCCAAGAGCAACCCAAGACCATCGACCACCACATCCCAAGATAGGACCGCCCTGCTGCAGGACTGCCAGTAGATGTACCAGTAGGTAATGCCCAGAGTAGCTAGCTAGCCAGCAAGTATTAGGATCTTCTATTCTATCCTTTTGGTACATGTAGCTGTGGATGGTTCGATTCCAGTCTGCTGTGGGATCGTTGAAGTTTGGTTTTGCCAACTCGTTCTTGGAGATGGATCCTAGGCCTAGCTAGCTGAGGGCTTCGTTGGAGCGTTCTTCTACATGTATGAATGAAGGAATTGAGCGTTGCTTGCAACGCACATCCTGGAAGAAGCTCTGGAAGGCCACCGGCTAGAGCCAAGCAAACTGAAATTTTCAGAGTAGTCGTAGAGCATCAGCCAGCCATGCTTTCAGCCCTCACGCTGTCTGGCTGGGCGGATCGACAGAACCAAGGGTAATGCATCTTTAGTGTGTGTTGCTAGGCTAGCTGGTACGAATAGTGCACTGAATAGTGTACTGCAATGGCTTAGTTTATCAGGGCAGGAAGCAGGAAGTTTTATACATACATACACACACATACAGGAGGGAGGATGAATTCAATTCATGGCTGATCAAGTTCACAAAGCCATTTTCTCCATGAGTTTTTTCATTCGTTCTTGTGCATCATCAATTTTTCGGTGTGCCTTGTGGACACTAATGTTTGTGACGAGGCGCCGTATTTGGTCTTGGTGTTCGTCGAAGAAAGAGCGCCATTGCTTCCAAGCAGCCTTGGGTATGTACCGCAGAGCCGAAAACGATCGCTTGTCCTTGACAAAGAGCAACTCGGGAGCTTCTTCGACGATGAGTTGTACCAGTTCAAAGTTTGGCTTGGTGGTCCACGCGGCATCGTGGAGTGGAGTTCTGCCCGCGTCATCCTGCACGAGAATGGAAACCTTGGCTTCGTTGATAAGGAACTTGACAACGTCGGCATTGTTCAAGCGGCAAGCTAGATGCATCATGCTTTCTCCTTGGGGGTTGCACCCCCCCAATGAGATTCCATCTTGGAGTAGTTCCTGGAGCCTGTCTAGGTCCGCAGCCCGAATGGCAGAGGACACGGCCATCTTGTGAGCTTCGATCCTCTCGTCAGTGACGGGATCAAAGTGTTCTTCTTGGAGTGCGGTAATGGCAATGCCTTGCAATAGATCTTGAGTTAGGTATTCTTCGGGTGACTTTGGCCCTCCTGCTGCTTGGTCTGGCTGGACGTGTGCATCAGGGGACTGAAAGTACGAGTTCTGAGCTGCCTTGTCCATTCGCTCTTGGAGAATCGCGGAAGATACCATGGGCATGCTAGCATTGCGCGGTTGAGCATTGCTAGCTAACGCCCGGACAGCCGCACTAACAATCGGAGCGGAAGCTCTGCGGTTCTTCACTTTGCGCGGTCGTGGACGAGGTCGACTCCCGGTACTCGCGCGCATTGCCGTGACTCCACGACATCGGTGGCGTTTATCAAAGTCCAGGAGCTCGACTTCGAGGTCGTCAAGGTCGTCGAGATCCGAAAGCGCTTCGCTGTACTCACTACCAGCGCCATCGTTGTCATTGTCATTATCGATATCGCCGCGGCCACGGTGCATGCTGCTCGAGTACGAAAACGAGGCGTCTTCGGAATACGCCGTTGTTTCCGTGCCGTCGGAGAGTAAGGACGCACGCTTGCTCTTGCTATAGCTCAGGCTGCTCGCGGTGCTCTCGTCCATGGCGCTACTATTGCTGCTGGTTTCGCTGGACCTAAGGTGCATCAGGGCCTGTCGCCGTTGGTCTCTGCTGCTGCTCATCATGGTTGCTTGCTTGCTTCTGTTATTGCTATGTCAGTAAAATGGGTTTGTGTGCTTGCAAGCTCTAGTAGCTAGCTAGGTTGGTTGGTCCAATTTATGGTGGTGGCTAGCTACTAGACTAGTAGTATGATAGTACAATGCAAAACCGCCTTTGCGCTTTACTGCCAGTGCGGGATCGTGATGTTCGACCAAGGCAATATCTCAGAGTTCCAGCTGCCTGACGTGGTAAAAATTAGGTCATAGACTCCTTATCGCTGGCAATCGAAAGAACGCCGGTGAAGACTATTTGTAACCGACGGATTTATTCAAAGAATTGAAGTGTCAGACACAGCAAAGCGGCAATAAACTTCATAAGAACGCTAGGTCTTGTGATTCTCAGATGGTTTGGCAGGGAGAAGATTCATTTATTACGTTTGAAGATCTTTGGCAGATTTTGCTTCAAATTGGTCATTGCCATGAAAACACGGGTTTAGGGTCCATTGAAGTTGCAAATGTCTTAGGAATCATACGATTCTCAGTAAGCAGTTTTCAGTATGCATCTGTGCATGGGGTAGAACCTTTCGACGATGCGGTGCAGTACTTGTACACTGGTACAAAAGAGCTCCAGATCAGGCTGGATCAACTTCCACAGCCCATAGCACACCCAACACCCAACTGTTTGGGATCCAGCTTGCTATGTTCAAAGTCACTCAAAAGCAACAGGTTCTTAATAATAATATTATTATGAATTATGAGTTTCACGCGATGACCGAGGAGAAAGGCCTGGCTATAGGATCGCTGAGTCCGGCAAATCTCGACTAGTCTTGCCGCATATCATGTAGCCAGAAAAGCCACAACTGGTCAGCTACATGTGGCCGGGCAGGGCGCCATCTGCAAAGGGCATAGGCGCCACTTCATTGGCCAGTAAGGGCGCACCTCAATGGCCCTAGCTAGGCGTGGCCTATCTCTCCGCTCGCCACCTTTAACATGCCCTTGGCTCACAGGCACAATGGCACTACCTGGTACCAACAGCCCCCCTGCCTCCCACGAATAGCTATTAATAGCTTGCTTTCATGCAGTTGTCTGTAACCAGTCGAAGGCAGTGCTGATCATGAGCAAGCAACGTCGCTTGGTATAGTGATGTGCAGTCGCAACGTCGAATCTATCGATTAAATAAGCTGTATATCATGTTGAGACACATCTTATTATTGCTTACTAGTAGCTAGTACCTGGCTAGCTAGTTGCTTCGTCATTATTGGCAGCCGACATGGAGGCTGTTTCTGTGCCGCAGTCAATACCACTGGCTGAAATAGAGTTAGGAGTTCAAACTTAGCAGCTTGCTTGTGTAGGCAGCAGCCAACTGCCCAGCACAGCATGGGATCATTGCGTGCATGACAAAGGCGCCAAGCATCCAACAACAGGACCACGAAGAAAGGCAAGTGCACCAGCCAGCAAGTCTAACTTCAAAATGTTTTCGCAAGTGCTACAAAACGAAATGCATCACCAGCCAAACTAGCTACTAGCTAGGACTCACTCGATACTACTGCGGTTGCTTGCTTGGCTTTCTAAGCAAGCAAGCATCAAGAAGAAGAACCGTCCAGCCAACTTGCTGAGAAACAAGCAACATGCCAGAAGCAGGAGATTCGAATCATCCCATGGCAGCCGTACAGTGGTTGTTCTTAATCTTGCTTGCAGCACCATACTACATGTACAACAAGTAAGTCTACCGACAAGTCCAATTTCAAATGTCAAAGTGGTACCACCAATAGATTGAAGCAGCAGAGCATTCTGTGGTGGTTTCGGTAGCACAGCGGGCTTGTGCACGAGCACAATCGACTTCGATGATGATTCATCATTCGAATCGAATGTTTGAATCGGGTCGAATAGGATCTACTAGTCTAATGGTGTGGTACTGGTACCGGTAGTTCTTCCGTGTATCCGAGTGAGGATGTGACGAGGCCACGTTGTTTACATGCAACTTTCGACGTTTCTGCGTGGGTGACACAACGTCTAGTTGAACTTTGTACTTCAAAGTTTGACTGCATTCGGAAAGATTCAGAGGAATTGTATGGCCCGAGTCAGACATCTTCTTTATTAGATGACTCATTCGGTGGTTTTCTTTAAGTAGTTTCAATCTGACGCATGCAGAAGAGCGTTCCTTCAACTGCTTTGCTGAGTTTGGGCAATTTTAAATTCCAACACGTGGCCGATTGGAAGTAGTTGCGCTATGACTTGGAGCTGATTACGAGTACTCCGGAGTACTGAATAGCTGAGTGTGCGATAAAACTTGCAGTTCCGTCCATTGCTGATGCATTGCTTCGTCATCCGTCACACAACAGACAAGAAAACAATGTCACTCGTATGATAATAGCAGATCCACTCATTTTTCGCCGACCTCATAAATTCGCACGAACGTTCTTCCTCTGTGCCACCGCTATCAAACTAGCTAGCTACCTAAGTCAACAGCAGTGTTTGTTGTTTTTGCTTTCCACCATCTAGCTTGCAACCACTAGTTACTCCTCGACAGCATTGTATACCTTATCCCAGCGACCCAGAGTTTGACCATGAGGGAACCATCTGCAACCTATGCCGGTACCGGTACCCCTAAAAGACACTCTACCGGCCACATCGTGGAATCTGCTCCTCTGCCGATGCCCTTAGCAAGACAGAGCACCCGAGAAAGACAAAGGCAACGAAGACCGAGTGATTCCACGTTAAGCTTTGCTTCTCTGGAGGATCAGGAGAGATTGCCAGTCTTGGAAAGCCTAGAAAAGCTGTCCTGCCATTTGCCCCGTACAGTACTGCAGCAGCTGATCAAGCAGGTAGTCAAGGAAGAAAATGAAGACCAAATCCTGACCATGCTAGGGAAGAGCATCATTTCAATAAGCTGTCACCCAGAGTGCAGTCAATCAGTTGCTGGACCAGAACAACCAAGAAGACGCAAAAACAAGTCCAGGTCAAACAAGACTCGCCATGCTCCCAGAAGATCCAACTCAGTCAAGAGTTCCCTCACCCTAATGTCCAACCCGCAAGGCGCAGGCAACGCGTCTCTGATAGGTTTGACCTTGGATGATTCCCACTATCTCTCTGATGATGTTTCAGAGACTAGTTCTATAGCAGATGATCAATCATGGGGTCATCATGATGACTTGGGCGAAACAGATGATGATGACGACGACGACACTTCTAGCATGGCTGATGATCAAGTGGAAGCTTTGCTGAACGAGGCCACAGGCAGCACAAGCACCAGCAACCAAGCGCAGCGCAGCTCGTCAAAGCCAAAGAAAAATGCAAGTTACAACAGTCTCCCGGAACTGTTGCGCCTCACTGAAGATCAGCCGTCCGTACAGCCACACATCCCGCAGCGCGACCAGGGCGTTTCACGATTGGTTCAGGGACGACTCTCCTCCAGCATGAGCATTGCAACGTGTCATCCAAACGTTATGCAACGTCCGACTGCCACCTCGACCTACCACACAGGAAATGCAAAGACGCCCACGCATTCCTTGCTAGCTCCCCAGAAGCGCCTAGAATCCATCAGACACACTGCCGCCTTGCTCTTTGTTGACATTTCAGGATTCACCAAGCTGTCGCGGAGTCTCGAAGTAGAATCACTTTCCAAGGTAGGCACCGAGTGTCCAGTGTTGAAACAGTGGAGCTACTGGCCCCCCTAACAAGCCCTTGCTTCTTTCCATTACTTGCTCGTGCTGTCTGTCGTTCAGGTCATCAACTCGTACTTTCAAAAGATTGTAGAGATTATTCAAGAATTCAAGGGAGACGTTTTGAAATTCGCAGGGGACGCCTTGATTGTGGAATGGAAGGCAAACCAATGCAAGCAGCAACAAACGCAGGCTCCCGTCATGGCCACACTTTGTGCGGCAAAACTCGTGGATGCGTGCTCTGACTTTGTCGTTAGAATACCCAACAAGAACAACGCTACCACGCTCCTCAACATTCATTGTGCCATTGGCTTTGGAAACGTTGCGGGAACACACGTGGGGAACCAACAGAGAATGGAGTATGTGATCTGTGGCGATGCACTTCGGCAAATTGCATTAGCCATCACGGTCGCCCAAAATGGAGAGGTTGTGGCCTCGCCCGAAACTATTCGAGCCCTACGGGAAACATTTGTCTTTGAGAAGAACACCACCAAGGGCTCGGAATCATGGACTGAGACGCCACAAATCATTGCCACGAAATCGCAGCTTCACTTCCGACCCATCGACGGGCAGTCGTACGCCAAAAGCAAGTGGGAAGTAAACCACACCGAGAGCGACGCAATGCTCAGTGAGCAGTGCCAAGGATGGAACATTAGCATGCTGAAGCGTCTCCACGACCGCCTCGCGCCGTACGTACATCCAGCGGTTCTCGAGGCGCCGGTTACCGTTCCTACAAGCAGGGCATCCGTTACTTCAATCTCATCGTCACGCAATAACCACATCAACGCAAGTCAACGCCGCAGAAGTAACAGGCGAAAGTCCATTGCTGCAAGCGTTCAAAGCAACAGCAATGCAAACACTGAAGACGCCAAATTGCGTGATGTGCTAACGATTTTCTTTCAACCCCTCTTGCCGGAGGAAGTTGACTTGATGAGCTCGGCCACAGTGCCGGATGGTGCCTTGGAGCTGTTGCAGAGTATTATGATGATTGTTCAAAGCGAGGCGGAACACTTCGGCGGGCAGCTTAGACAATTTATTTGTGGTACGTGTGCTTGATACTTCTGAGCTGGTGAGGATTCATTTTTGATTTCTTATATCTCATCTCGCTGTACCAAATCGCAGATGACAAGGGTCTAACGGCAATCGTCAACTTTGGGCTGCAGGGCAGCACGTTTCCCAACATGGTCGAAGAAAGAGCCATTCCTTGTATCTCCAAAGTCAAGACTCTGCTCAAGACGGAACTGGCGTTGGATTGCAGGATCGGGGCCACGCATGGCAAGGCATACTGCGGTGTAGTGGGAGCCTTGACACGACATGAATATGCCGTGTTAGGCCCCTCAGTGAATCTCGCGGCAAGGCTCATGGGCAACAAACAAAATCCTGGCACTCTCGTTGATCGAGGCTTCAAAGTTAAGGCGGGTCCGAACCATCCATTTCGCTCTTTGCCTGCCATTGAAGCAAAGGGATACGACAGACCAGTACGCATCTTCGAACCAGCCAATGCGGGTCAAAAGGTATGGGTTGACATCAAAGAAGATCAGCTCGTTGGACGTTCTGCCGAGACGTTCAAGTTGCTTTGCTTGGCCAAGGACATCCTCAAAGCAGGCAACAGTAAGCGAAAGTCTTGCTTATCGCGATCATCCTCCAAGATGGTATTTGTCTCCGGTCAGTACGGAGTCGGCAAGTCTTCTCTGATGTCTCAGTCAACCCGCCAGATCGAACACCTATGTCGGAAGCGATCCGCGCAATATCATGTGACAAGACATGTATTTAGTGACGAGGACTCTTTCAAGCCCTTCAGCATCGTCCGCCCTTTGTTCCTGGATATTCTACGACGAAGGCAGAGTGCAACTTCGAGGTCAGTCGTCTCCAACGCGAGCAAAGTTCTGCAAGAGGAGATTCGGAAGAACGAAGAGGCCCAGCTACATCTTCTGTTCCTCCAAACCTGTTTGCAAGCGGCTATACCGATGCAGTACATTGAGATGTTTGCCGGCCTCATCTTCACAGACAAGTTGTCTGATGGTATTGGAAAATGGTCCGACAAGGCCCAGAAGATGGCCGAGTGGAATCGGATTGCTCAACTTTTGGTTCAGGTGTACCTTCAAATGACCGACGTCTTCGAGCTGGTGGTACTGGCCCTCGATGACATTTCGGGGATGGACGAGTTTTCATGGAAGATTGTGAGACGTCTGTTCACAAGGACATCCAAATTCGTCATTATGGGTGCTTCACGGAACGAGTTCAGTCTGAATATCCAGCGACACGCGTGGGACGAACTCATGGGCGACGATGTTCTTGGTAGCAGTCGTGGCAATGGAGGCAATTTCATCAACTTGAGACTAGGCCCTCTGGCCGAAAATGACATTGCTGGAATTGCCTGCAAACGTCTGTGCCAACCATCAGTTGAATTAGTCGTTTCCAGGACTGTGTTCCTGTTGTCTGAAGGGAATCCATTTCTGGCTACGGAGATTCTCGATCAGATGTATTTGCCAGCATCAAAACTGGATGAACCGAGCCGCATGGACAGGATGGAAGGAGTCAGAGATGTTTTGCTGAACCGACTGGATTCGCTTCCATCGGCGGTGCGTTTGCATCTCAACTGTGGCGCCATGTTGGGGCTTTCCTTCAGTCTCTCCGACGCGGTTGCGGTCATGGAGAAGTACAACGGTATTGCAACTGAAGAAGAAACAATAGAAAACGAGGAATTAGTTCGCCAGAGTCTTCTGGAAGCCGAACAATGCGGTTTCCTGTCCTCCTCCGAAATCCTTGGAGGAACATGTCGTGGCTTTGTGTTGTACAGCTTTTCCCATCCACTGTTGCGTGAAGTGATTTCGCAGCAGATCCTCCAGGAATGGAAAGACAAGATCCAAAGACTAATTGATTCGACCAGGACCTCTGACTACGTGGCTCTTCACGATTCACGGCGCGACCTTTCTGTGGCTCAGAACAAACCAATCAGATCCGTGTAGTAACAAGCAAAGAATGTACCAGATCTTGTAAATTGAATTGTAAACATCAAATTTTGTACCTTTGAGTAACCGTTGCACGAAGCAGTTGTAGCTAGCTAGCTATCTCCCCAAGGCAGCGGTGGTTCTCGTTTTTGTCTTTTTATTTGTGTTTCATCCTTGTCCTTGCCCTTGTCCTCGTCTGATTTTTTGGTGCTGCCGTTGCTCGTTGTGGCTGCCGACCCAAAGACGGCATCTTGCAAGGAGTAGATGGAGTTTCCTACTCGCTGGAGATATGATCTTTGTGGTTTTAGCCACCATAAAGAGGACTGATTCTGTGACGCGCAGCGTCGTTTGGCGTTAGTTCGTGTGGCCCGGTCCACTCTTCCAAATAGATTGGGTACGAGTATCGAGAAGAAAAGGATTGAGAAAACGTGGCGTATGATCCATTCCACAACAGATAAACCCCTCTTGAGAATCCCTGGCGGCAAGCTGGCAATGTTTCCTTGCATCAATCGAGTGACGCCGCCCATGGTTGAGGAGACTGCGATGGGTAAGACGGTCAGCAAGGACCAGTAGATTGCGACTCGAATCGAGATGGGCGTGCAAGCGACGACGATAGCGTTTGAGAATTCTTCTCGATTGAGATGACCTGATTGATCCTGATCGGCCAATTCAAAGAGTTCATCGACCTGCTCTCGCGTGGGAGGAAGACATGCAGCGACCCCAACATATTTGCTGAGATGGAGGTGAACGAGGAGCGTTCCCGCGTAAAGTGCGGCCTGATCAATCTTTTTGTCCTTTTTGGTTTCGGCACAGGTATCGTATGCCCAATTAGCGACTTTTTTGAGCAAGACGGCTCGGGTGCGTTTGGCCTTGGCATCGAATGCATCCAAACGTTCCTGAACCAAGCGCTGAATAGCTTCTGGCTCTAGCTCTGAGGTTCCATTGCGTTGAGTGCGAGGTAGCATTGGTTTGGTAGAGTTAAGGTTAAGCAAACCTTTGGTTGCGTTCTTCTTGCCTGCAATAGCTTCTGGCACGGTTGGGTCTGGATCAACGACCTGTTTCTCCAACTCCTTGTAGATGCGTGCGCTGCTACGCATCAGGTTCAGAGCCTTGGAAATCCCATCACCGTCCTCGACTTCGGCTGCAAGCAGCTCTGAACGAGGATTTCTCACGCGGGAATACGTATACGGAAGACTCGGGGAGAATGGCGGGACTACCGGTGATACCCTCAGTGCTTGTGGTCTCCAAACACCAAGAGGAGTGTTGGTCAAACAGTCGGAGACGGAGAATCCCTGTAGGTGCAAAACGAGCAATAGTTTTGGTACCAGGGAACGCCATGGTGCCAATATCGGTACCAGTAGCATTGCTTTTGCATCCCGCGGCCTCATTTTTTGGTTCAAGGGACGTTCTACAATGTTGGGGCCGGGGGGGCGCAGCGCGGATTTGTTGCGAGCGAAGAAGTTCTTTCATGGGACTGGTCCAGTCACTGGTTGCAGCAGCAGCAAAAATAAAATAAAAAGCACTGCGGCATTTTGAAATTCCCACCAGTAAAATACACCAGCGGAGGCTAGCTAGTAATAATAGTCAAGGCCATGCCAGTGCCGTCATTGTAATAGTACTGGAGCAATTGGTTCAGAGACTACTAGTACTTATTATTGCCAGAGCACAAGTAAGTTTACTCCAGTTGGATGAGTACTAGTACCAGTACAATCACGAGCTGTCTTCTCACACCACAAAGACAAGCAAAATCCTACTCATCGAAGAGACGGGGGTTTAGAGCAGGTAGATTATCTACGAAAGCCAGCCAGGGCCAGGCTTAGTCAGAGAAAAGTCCAAATTCAGGACTGGGCTCCGTGGGATCAGGGGCGAGAAATCATTCATCCACAAGAAGCACTGCTTGTACCCTGCACTTTGCACTCATTCATTACAATGGGAGAATACAATTAAACTGCAATGACAATGACAATGACAACCAATTGCAGCAGATCATCCAGCAAGCCAAGCAGTCTGAGTTGCCCACGCCATGCTGGAACCAGAGCTTCAGTCTTTTTTAAGGTTGTTGCAGTGGCTGGTGTCATCAATGTTCTGGTTCTCCTCATAGCCAATGCCAACAGATCTACTGGTACATCTACTAGTAGCAGAGGGCACCCAAGAAAAGTGAAGCTGTTTGGTACAAACTATGATGTGGCAACCACCACTGAAATGGATCAAGTGAATGTATATGGTCAGCTCATTGGAAGCATTCCTTCAACAATTGGATTCTTTACAAGGTTGACGAGCTTGACGTTGGAGTGGAATCAGCTGTCAAATAGCCTGCCCACTGAAATTGGACTACTTACTGCTCTGAAAAAGTTGGATTTGGGTGAAAATAAGTTAGTTGGAACAATTCCATCTGTGATTGGATTGCTGACACAACTGACTTCCTTGGTCTTGTCCTACAACCAATTCTCCCAAGGGATGCCTTCACAACTTGGATCCCTCACTGCATTGGAGTTCCTATACTTGCACAACAACCACTTGTCAAATAGCCTTCCCACTGAGATTGGCTTGCTCACTGCCTTGAAATCATTGAACTTGGACGTCAATCAGCTGTCAGGGGCAATTCCTTCAGAGATTGGCTTGTTGACTTCATCTACAGATTTGAGCTTAAACCAAAACCAATTTTCAAACAAAATCCCAAAAGAGATTGGGTTCTTGACTGCATTGTCATTTTTGTGGTTGCAAAAAAATCAGCTATCTGGATTTATTGCTTCTGAGATTGGTTCCTTGACTGCCTTGTCTTTCTTGAGCCTAAAAGACAACCACTTGTCGGGTGCAATCCCTTCCGAGATTGGGTCCCTGACAGCCTTGACTTTTTTGCAGTTGCAAAACAACCCCCAATTGACGGGCAGTGTACAACACAATTTGTGTTTCAACAAATTCTTGGAAGAAATTCAAGTGGATTGTGATTCAGATGGCAGAACTGTGGAATGTTCCTGCAGTGAATGTCAGTGTATAAAAAGATAGATGGATGGATGGATAAGGAGTCATCACGTCATGGATCCCAGCAGGCCCACGAATTTTGTGGTCTTCTTTCTTCCATAGAGTACCGCAGCTAGCCATCCAGCTACCTGTAACTACGAGCTATTATGGAGCAGCAGGAAAGAGGCACCCCATTTGCATACTTGCTTAGACATTCAATTTGTGAACAGTTCGACTTGGCTTCATGTTTCTATAAGTTAGCTACAGTTCTTGCTCCCAATCTTCCAGCTTGGCCCTGATCCTATCCAGGAGGCGTTGCTTGGCCACTTGAAAGCGCACTCGTTCTGTTTGCAAGCGAAAGAATTTTTTGTTTTCCTTGAGAAACGGAGCCCATAGCTCCCAGGCATCCTTGGGTACGTAATACAAGGGTGAGTAACCTTTTTCGTCCCGGCAAAAGAGGAGTTCGGGACATTGCTGAACAGCAAAGAGGACCGCTTCAAAGTATTGCGGATTGATGTGGTCTCGAGGAGCCCAACACAATTCGTGCAATGTGGTTTTGCCACAATCGTCCCGGACCTTGAGGGATACCTGAGCTTCCTGCACCAAAAACTTGAGCAACTCGACGCTGTGTCGTCTGGCCGCCAAATGCTGTACCGATTCTCCTTGTGCATTGCATGCATCCATGACATGTCGACCTACGCCGGCTTCAATGTCTCTGTCGAGGATTTCCCGCAATTTGGAAATGTCCTGCGCCCGTACGGCCTCGGTAGCCTGCTTGGTGTAAGCTTTGATTCGATCCGGAGTGACGGGGATAAAGTAGTGTTCCCAGAAAGACGGAGACAATTCTGGCACGGTCAATGTCTTTTTCCTCCGGTCTTTTGTGGCCTTGGATGAATTTTCCTTGTTTTGGCTTTTGGCTTCTTTAGTGATAATCTTGTGTAATTGCGCCTCTGGATGATTGTCATCCATCACCAAACGCTTGTAGTCCGATTCACTAAGCCCCCAACGGTTGCTTCCGATGGTTCCGATGGAACGCCCGCAGGAGCTTCTGGTGGCTCCACAGGTACCAGCATTTGGCTTGTCTTGCACGTAAGAAGTCAAGGTTTTTGTACTACTGCTTCGTGTGATTCGAATCTTCATGATTTCTTGAAGGTCAATTTCCACATGCTGCTGCTGCTGCGGTTGCTGCTTGCTGGACTTGTTTACGGGTTGCGCAGGACCTTCTAGTGCGTCTTCGTGGTCTACAGAATAGGAATCCTCATTGGCAGTGGAAGAGGTGCAGGTACTAGTCCCGCCACAACCCGACGATACGCGCTGCAGCTTGGCTTTTTCCGCAGCCGCTCGTAAACCAACCGAAATAGCTTGCATACTAATATCCTCATGATCAGCACTCTTCCTTCGAGCTGCTGCTGCTGGAAGCTCCTGATCTTGATCTTGATCTTGCTGTTTAGCATTCTGCTGCGGTACGGACCACTGCACGAGCAACTCTTGGCCAATCTGATCGAGCAATGCTGTGCAACAGCTAGATTCGTCTTCGTCTTCTGACAGGGACGACGACGAAGCAGAACAAGAAGAAGCAGAACAAGAAGAGTCCAAAGAGGAGTCGCCGCTGGCGCTGCAGCTCGATTCGTCATTGTCGCCGTTTTCTTTCGTGAAGATTTGCTGGACCTGATCGTGCTCGTACTCGTTCTCGAACTCGTCGTCGTACTCGTGGTTTAGCATTGGCTGGGTGGTATCCGGGCTTGCAAGAGTGGGGGTGCTCATGGCTAGATACTAGTAGCTAGTAGTTAGTAGCACTTGGTTGGGTTTGGGCTTGTAGTATGATTTGCTTGCCTACCAATAATAACTAGATACTAGTAGCTAGCTAGTGCCCATGCAACAACCGCAGTGGTAGCCAGTAGACAGACAGGGATAACACCTTTCAGGTATAATAATAAATGAGCCTGAAATAGAATGCCGCGAGCAGCATTGGGATTGCAATTATTGATAAAACCGGTCATGAACTACACGTAGTCTGGACTACAGCAACTGAACGAATCGAATCAATTCAATCGGAAAGAACCTTGAAGCAAGATCTCCCTTCTCTTGATCAAACCGTACTGGGAAATAGCGCCTTGCTTGCTATTGGTTGCAGCTGCCAATACCTAATAGACTACATACATGTACAAGCAATTACAGTACAGTACGTTAGTTTGGTGAGCTTTTGGTGTCTATTGCCTCGGTCGTCACCAAACCATTATTATTTGCTTAAGCCTGGCCCCGGCTGGCTTCCGTAGATAATTTCCCTACTCTAAAACCCCCCTTATATATATTATTATTTGTTGATGCCACCTCAATGTCCCCAGCTTCCACGGAACTGGAAGAGCATGCGGGTCATTATGGTCTAAACAGAGGGGAACCAATGATTAATTAAATAGAGTCTTCAATGACTTAGACAACACTTATGGATTGTGACCTGAAAAACCCACAAAGCTGCAAAGATACTGATTCCAACTCTTTCTGTAGTGTGTGTGCTGTAGACCTACCTGAGCCTTCAAAGCGGCAGGTCCAGCCTATCCTGGCAAGCTACCGTACCAGGCTACAGTAGCTAGCCAGCATGCAAGGAGCTGGAGGTTGTGATTGTTGTACCGTACCACAGCTGTACCCCCTAAGAACTGCATGCAGATATCTTTGGAGATTTCGAGTACGAAAAGCAAGCAATGACAGCCCATGGAGCCAGAGGAAGAAGAATAGTACCCCCAGAGGCTGCTCTAGTAACACTTGCACTTCAAGAAATAGCCAACCAGTACTCTGCATCAAGAAGAAAACCGGCTCCATATTGTCTCTTTCTTTTCAGTTCCTTGACACCACGAGTATTTGTGACGGCAAGAAGGCCCCGTCTACAAGAACAAGCAAGTTGCATGCATGTATTTCCTGCAGCCGCCATCTTTCTAGAGGCTAACAATGAAGCAATAATCCAAGACGCACTCAAGCAAAAATTTGAAGTTGCTTCAGGTTGATGACCAGCCATAGTGCTTGCTTGTACATGTAGCTCCACAAGGCTTGTAATTCAGGTTGATTACCGTGGTGCTTGTACCGCTGCTAGTAGAACTGTAGACTAGAAATGGCTGAATGCTGGCTGATCAGGCAAGAAGCCCATCTGCGCCATTGCTAAATCCAAGTTGGTCGCCATTTTCTTCACTGAAGTGTTCCCAGAATGCGGTCGCCGTGGCAACTGCAACACACCCAGCCCTTTCTTTTGCACGATCAGCCACATTATGAGCAAGAAGGAGAAAATCCAACCGCCAGTAGTCTTAATTAATCAGCTATTAATAGTAATGTAATTGGTATTGTCGCTAGCTAGCTGCTGACTGGAAGCTGCCTAGCTGCCTAGTTGGCTGCCCAGCCAGTTGCCAGCTGGCTAGGACATGACTTGCTTTGTTGGCATGGTTGAAGCGCTAGCTATCTCGATGAGGTTGGGCCATTGTTGGGGCAAACACTGGTTGGGTTGCATCCCGCAAACTACATGTATCTAGATCTGGAGACAGTGCAGCTTTCTGCGCCTTGACCTTTGTTTCTTTTGGCTCTAAGAAGTACTATGTTATAGCTAGCTAGCTAGTAATAATCTAATCTCAGCACATACATGGTTTCAAGTTTCAAGGATTTCGTTCGTTCCGAGATATAAAATAATGACCACAGCTGTTTTGGGTAAAGTCCAAGATATAATGCCATTTACAAGTGCAAGAATCGTAAGTGTCCTGGAATTCCTAGTCGGGACATCGCTCTTCGTTATGACCAGAAAGCTCTTGCGTGGTGCATTGCTGACTATTGAAAGAAGGTGCAAGCACTTCCGGGATGAAATGACGGAACGCCACGTATGTGGACAAGGCTTCCTATTAGGACGCTCTTTCCTTAAACCAGAATACCCCACCAGTTACGTGGCAGCACGAAAACTCGTGTGGATGCAGCATCATTTAAAGGTATCCAATGTTACTTGAACTTTGCAACTCAAATGACTTACGGGGGCTTCTTAACTGGGGTACTCTGTTCTTTACGTCAAGTTTGGTCATCGAGTTTGGCTGGTTGGATTAAATTTTCATGATTGCCAGGCTATAGGTCTCTGGATCTGAGCTGGGTTAACGTTGTGCTGGCTGGCACATCAGACCACGAGCCAACTGTATCGAAAACTTGATTAGATGACGGTAATTGCATTGCTTCTTTTGGAGCTGGCAGCAGCACAGAAGAGCCCTTCGCTTTACTCAGCCCATTCTGGGGAGCAAGTACGAGTATTGGTAGCTAGCTAGACTTTGTTGTATTGTTCTCACAATTTCTTACTTCCATCATACAAAAATCGATCACCCGATCAGATTATTTATACTGTACTAGTACTTCATCAGACACACTTACGACGATACCGTAGCTACTAAGAGCTAGCTAGAACAATGATCGGCAACATTTACCGCAACAACAACCTGAACGGTTCGAGCCACTCTAGCAAAAGCTTACTGAAGAAGGCCGGCCAGAACGAGCAGAACGATTATCGGTCTCCGTTCATGTACATGCACGACGACTCGACGCGTACGTTGTTCGTGACGGACTTGGGAGGAGATCAGTCCATGTCGACGCAGTGCAACGGGATCAGCAGTCACTCGAGACTCGATGCCAAGAACTTGAAATCCAGAAGACCTTCGGATGGAGAGCTTAGCTCGACATACACTGGCTCTTGGTGTTCTTCTTCGGATGACGACGATTCCATGTCGGGGTCTTCCTTTGGAAACGATTACAGCATTGACTGCTCTCACACGAGCTTCCTCGTCGAGGACTCGGACGACCTGGATGAACTCGAGAAAGGTTAGTAGTTACTAGTCGGCAGAGCTGTCTAAATTTACCCATTTTTCCTAGTCATGAATCGAATCTGACTCCCACGCCTCCCTCTTTTTGTCATTGCAGCCCTGGAAAAATTTGCCGCCAAGGAAGAGCGGGATGCCGCTAAAGAAGCGAAAGAAGCTCAGAAACAAGCCAAGAAAGAAAATCGTCGTCGTTCTCTCGAAGTCGAGCGCCCCGTTCATGCGGCCAAAACCCCGGCCCGTCGCAGTGCTTCCGACTTGACCGATTTGCGTAGACCTGATTTTCTCAGCAATGACAATAATGACGACGAGGGTCGCGGCGGTCGAAGATCCAACCGCCGAAGGAACGGTGGATCGGATCATGATGACAACCGCTCAGTGGGGTCCAACAAGTCCCTGCCCTTGTCTGCATTGGAACCGCAAAATCAAAAACCAAAACCAAAGACATTATCCGGCTCCAATCGCTCCCTCATGAGTATCTGCCCGGTCAAGGATCAGCTCGAACAGGTCTTTGGGGACACGTCCGTTATCAAGAATGTCAACTGGGACAACTACTTTGACGAAGAACACCAACAAGAAGCGGGATCCCTGACGGACGAACTGGAAAAGGCCATTCGCTCCAAAAAGGTCAAACGACTCCAACGATTGCACAAGCGAGGCGTCTGTATGAATGCCAGAAACAAACAGGGAGAAACCGTCGTCAGCCTCGTCTGCCGCACGGGAAGTGCCGAAATGCTCATGTATCTCATGACGGAAGCTAAAGTCACGGTCCGAGTCAGAGACAAGGCCGGCAAGAATCCTCTCCATGAAATCGCATGGTCGCCCAAGTTTGAACCATGCATTGCCATGATGCTCATGTCAGACTCGCCGGAACTGCTTTGGGCTCCCGATGCAAGAGGATTCTTGGCGCTAGACTATGCCCCCAAACGCTGCCAAGTCGATTGGTACGAGTTCCTTGAACTCAAACAACAAATGCTCAAGCTGTCGTTGCAGTTTAGCCGATTCAAAGCATCCAGTATGGAACTTAACCGCAATCAAGAGCGATTGCGAAAGATACTGGAAGAACAACTGCAAAGCAAAAGCAAAAACAAAAATGACAACTAAATAGTATGCAAATGTCAAGCAACGAACATGGCAGTCGCCGCATCATGGAATTCCTTTTGTACAAACTACTTCTACTTGGAAAGAAAAGAAAAGCAAACGCATCCGCAGGCAATTGCAATTGCAACCATGAACATAATCCTTGCCTACCAGTACTGTACCTACATGTACAGCAATGTCTAACTAGAACACAATAAGTCCTCCGCTACAGCTCTATACACAATCTTGTTGGTAGCTACGCTATAGTATACAATCAATCGTTGATTTTGGTTAGGGTGAACTATACCGGTAGCAAGCAACAAGAAGTCTGTTTACGGCTTCTACTAAAGTCGAGGCCGTTTCTGCCTGTGTGGCTTGACTTGACTTGACTTTGACTATCGGTCTTCGAAGGTAATTTCCGATGATGTAATAAAATTGACCAGCCCCGAGAAGAAGCTCCCAACTCGATAGACAGCAGCACCTCCGAGATAGAGCCCTGTGCGACAAAACTGCAACGCTCCCGAGCCACCACCGGATGGAGCGGCAGGGCACCAATCGGAGCTGATTTCCTGTTGAATCCATTGATTGTAACTGCTGACCTTGGCATAAACGTCTGGGTATTCGTTTGAAGCACATCCTCCGTAGCCAAAGGATACCAATCCAACCTGCTTACCAGTCTGTTTGTCTATGACGGGACCACCAGAGTCGCCATTACAGTCTACATCATGGATAGTAGCAAATAAATGTTGTGGGGGCAAGAAGACGTAACGGAATAAGTCAGAATACAAAACAATGACGCAAGATGGAGCCCACCAGCTAGCTAGCTATAAAAAGGATAGCTCCTGACGCACCTCCTTTACTCCAGACATCTCCGCAAATATGAGCGTTTGGCCTGACGACGGTAGCATCGTACTTTTGTACGCACTCCTGGTGGGTGACAAAGTTTGTGTCAAGCTTGCGTAGGTGGTCGCTAACTCCGCCGCTGTTGGATGTTTTTCCATACCCCATGACAGTCATTTGGCTCCCGGCGACGCTTGGGAAATTATTGTCGGTGTTGAGATCAGCAAAGCGTAGATGTCCAACTGCAAATCCGAGTTTGAGAACGGCGACATCGTGAAGTACCGTGACGAATGGGGTGAGATAGTTCGGGTGTCTGACACCACACAGAACGGGTACGAGCTGGCCGTGGGAATTGGTGTGAGATCCGACCCGAACTTGTCGTGGCCATCCATTCTGAATGCAGTGTCCTGCGGTAAGGACTCTATCTGGTGCGATGAGTGATCCTCCGCACAAAGTACCCCCCTCGAACTTGACAAAATAGGGAAATTCACCTTCGTAGGCCGGAGATCCGCCAATGATGTGTTGTTCATCGTCCGCTGGGGTAATCAAGGTTTCGTTGCCGCGAAATTGTAGGTTTCGTTCCCCCCTTATGTTCTGATGATCCATCAGCTGGCAAAAGGTGGGCGTCACAAGAGACCAGGCTGCCAATAGCCACAGCCCGAGAGATGCCTTGCTATGTCCCTGTACGATTTTTAATCCCGCAGCGGTCGACATGTTCAACTCGTCTTCTCTTGTTGCTTGATTGAATGATTGCCTTTGAGTGCTTCAGTGATGAGAAGCTGGCCAGCTTTTTGTAATGTTGAATGAATGATCCTGTTTTCTATTCTGTTTTCTTATATGTATGTGAACACATCAGCCCACTCATCACCGAGCCTGATGAGCACAGCACCTTCCCTTGGCAGCATTGTTTTATGCCACACCCAGATCTTATGACTTGCTGAAACGGAGAGCTTATTTCCACTTAGGACGTTGGCGAGGTTTTCCGAACACTCAACCACCTAAGTACCTTGGCGAAGGATGCGGGTAAGCTTGCGCGGTTCAAACATGGAAAGAAAGGACAAGTGTGCGGTTCCTGAGAGTTTCGCACACGTCATTGGAGACGCTCCGTTGTTTTTCTCTTTCAGTTTCATGCGAAGGGCAGCAAGACTCCCATTACAGTTGCTCCGCAAGAGCTAGTAGCCACGGTAGCAGGCTAGTCTGAGGGAAAGTCCGAGGGCAAGCAAGACAAGGACAGACAATAAGATGCCTGAAGTATCCAACTATGGGTCTGTGGAAGACCAAGCCGAAGAAGGAAGATCGTTTGATGAGAAGGATACATACTACTTGAACGAAAGCAGACTAACCCCGGAAGAACGCAAGAGGAAGTGTTTGCTGCTTGCCGTTCCCCTAGTTTTGGCCGTTCTGATCATTGGCGGTTTCACGCTCTTTTTGCTCAGGGATTTTGACTTTTTGTATCCTGGTAGAAATGGAGGAAATAGACACAGGACGCCAAGAACGCCAATTCCAGTTTACCCCAGCGATACCGGTTCTAGCACTGCCACTGAGGATACTAGTAGTACCGGTACCAGTACCAGTACCAGTACCAGTACGGACAGTGCTGCTGGCAGCTCTCCAGGTGCTTCCTGCTTGGCACATGAAAAATGTACGGGCCTGACTGGAGATTGCTGCCCTTCTATCGACGGTCTCTTCCTCCAATGCTGCAACTAGCTATAGCTAGATACATGCACAACTTGAAGCAGTCTACTACTAGCTAGCCAGCAAGTAATACGGTAGTAACATGTAGCAAAGAGCAACCTTTCTTTATTGTATGCATATACCTACATCCTATCGAACTCCTTTTCGTAGTCTGGTTGCCGCTCTTTTTGATTCTTCCCCTTCTTTTTGCTTTTGCGAGGCTTGGACGTCTCTGGAAAGTCGTTGTACTCGATCATCTCCTCTCGTCTCGACCGATGATACCTACTGGTGGCGGCATTGCCATGTGGATCCCCTCGTTCTCCGCAGACTATTCTAGTACACGCATAATGCATAACATCATACCAAGCAGCTCCTCGCACGCAGCATTGCGACTTGGGTTCCATATCCTTGATGAATTGACTCATCACAGAATTGGGAGAATGATTCCATGCATCGAAATTAATCTCGCTCGACGACACATCACTCACCAGTGTGTGCCCTGGACCAAAGTTGGCAGCAACGTACTCTCGTTGATGACTCGTACCAGTATAAGGATTCACCACAATCTGTCGAGGAAGCCCAGAACTCAAATCCATTTCCATTGATTTCGGAGACATTGTTGGATTCAGAGCCATGAGACTACTGGGATCGCTCATGGAAGCTACCAGATTCGGGGCCGTCTGAGGACCGCCTTGGGAAACCTGGAGAGCAGTGCTCATTCGGGTATTGACCATCCCATGAGGCGAACTTGGTCGCTTAGTAATCTCCAGATTGTCCTCGTCTTCCAACGTCCGGTTGTTTATGGTGGGTGTCACGGCACTACTGGCACCACAATGATGATGATGATGATGAGTGTGAGGGACACTCTCATCAACGTCGCTCGCCTCCACTATCGGGCTCATGGGCGTCCCGCGGAGTGAATTTTCCCTCGGAGGGCCACATATTTGACCCTGAACAGTGTTGGGTCCAACGATTGCTTGCACGGGTTCCGCACGAATGACGGCTTCTCCTCGTACGTATCCCGGTTGCTGCCTCAGTTGCTGCAGCGCTTGAGTATGCTGTAATGGTATCAGTGAATGCGACGATGGCCCGGGCCATTTTCTTTGGGGACCCCCTCGTGGTGGCAATCCATGTTGTCGAGCATAGTACTCTTCTTCTGGCGTCCTTGGTGGGTGCGGCTGTAATCCCAGGGGTGGGGTTCTATTGGGTGGATAAGGCGTGGTGTCGTTGAGATACTCAAAGTCATTCTGTGAGAGCTCGACGTCAATCTTGCTAGGCGCAGTATCGTCTCCGCGTTTTCGACTTCCTCTCCCAAAGAAGCCTCGGCGTCCACGTCCATTGATCTTGCCTCTGCTGCGGTCTTGCGCTGGACGATTGGAGACATCGAGGGCAGTTCTAGTTCCAAAGAAACCTTTTCTCTGACTGCTCGATTCACTTACGCTGTCTCTGGCGCCTTTACTCCCTAGTTTGCTCCCACCTTTACTCCCTACTAGTTTGCTTCCACCTTTACTCCCTAGCATGCTTCCGACTTTGCTTCTACCTTTGCTGCCTCCACGACTGCCTCCTCGACTACCTCCTCGACTACCGCCTCTACTGCCACGACTACGACGGCCATCATCGTCCTCATCTCGTCGATCTGCGACGGCTGCGGGCTTATCACTCTTGAGATACAGAGTTCTTAGCAGCGAGATGACCTCGGTTTCGTCCAATTTTCCGAGCTGCTTTCGCGCCTGCTCAGCCTTGTCTTCCTGACCTTCACTTCCAGCCGAGAACGACGCGGCATCCTCATCGTCGAACGGGTTGTGGGTGCCAGCCATGGCATGTACTGTATGTACCTTCTTCTATCAATCTATCAATCGCCTTGCTAGCTAGCCAAGTCAGCTGGTGGTGGTACTGACAAATTGCAGCATTATCTGCCAAAATGGCCCTGGATTGCAGAGGAAAAAGTTGTGAGCCACCGAGGATGTCGAAATCGTGTTGGTCCGTTGGCAACGGTCTAACTAGCTAGACTACTACTATTAATAGCTAGCTAGCTCTGTCGACACCAAATCTTTTGTCACATGAGCAAAGCTACAGTACCGGTAGTGGATAGGCAAGAGAAAATTCCTGAAGGTTTCAATGCTATCCCATGTGCACTGGGAAAGACGCACCGTTGCGGACTTACTTAGATCGACTTTCACCGTTCAACTGCAAGAGGTGCGAAACTCGAGTTTTTGGCACGCACTCTGCGCTTGACTCGACTCCCACGGTAACTACTGGTACATGTAATGGACAAGAGGCAAGGTGCAACGGCAACACTTCCAACACAAGTGTACATTCGGAGTGCGCCTAATTCTGTCATTGCAGTTTGTGGGTGCGCTACATGGTGAGTGATCAGATCTGCATGACAAAGATCTGATCTCAGGGTGATTTCAACCCTAGCCTTAATGATGACTATGACGTGGACGGACGGATAGATAGATCACGCCAAACTGCAACAAAACAACGGCCATTTTCTTCGGCTCTTCGACCGACCTAAGCGCGACACTGCTACTAGCAGCTAGCTAGCTAGTAGAGCACCCAGAACAGTCCATCCTAAGTTTGTTCTACTAGTAGCTTTAAGTTCGTGGACAAAGTCAGTAAGGTAGAGATAAGCAAGTATGGAAGTACTGGATTTGGAGATAACCGTTGTTCAAGCGGACGGCTTGGCGGCGAAGGATTCGAACTTGCTGGGCTTCCGCACGACCAGCGATCCGTACTGCGCAGTACGGTTTCATCCACGAGGCCAAGAAAGCCACTACGACGAAGATCACATCTTTCTAGGCAAGACGGTTCCCATCATGAAGACTCTGGCGCCCAAGTGGGAGCAGAGCTTTCAAACTTTTTTGCCCTTGCGTCATCTCACTGAGGAAGCTCAGTTCACCCTAACTCTCATGGATTGGGATAAAATCGGGGAGGATGATCCCATGGGAGTTGTCACAGGTAAGCTATGGCATACAGTATACATGTATGCAACCAATGCAACCACTAGCAATGCTACATGTACCGTCCGGACAGTGCCTTTCAAGCTCAAGCTATACAACTCTAGCTAGAAGAACATTTCAGGTAGAGTACATGTACTGGCTTCCTATCCTGCTGCCCACGATCTCATTGGAACAATGGTCGCAGGGTTAGGGTTAAGGTTACCAAGGGCTCCTTCCACAAACTTGAAATGGAGCATGTCATTGCTTTACACTTGGGCACTTGGGCACTTGGGCACTTGGGCACTTGGGCACTTGGGCACCTGGCACTAGCTAGGGCACCTGACAACTCAATTCAGATACAATCAAGGTCTCACTTTTGTCATTTCTTTTTTACTCTGCTTCAATCTTGCACATCTTGCAATCTTGCAATCACACCCAATTCATGATGATTCATTTACATACATGTAGTTTACTTACCATTGAGAGAGATCAAACGAAATGACAACTACAGTCAAACAAAATGGTATGGCATTCCTGCAAGCTCAGCCCAAGGAGAAGAAGCCACGGGAAGAGTACAGGCCACTCTCAATGCAACGCACAAACGAATGACCGAGGAAGAGTTCAAAGCGGCACAATCGGGACTGCACAAGTCCGCCCAACCCGCCGAAAGCACTATGAGTACATTCAACCCAGTCGCGCTGGTGGCTAACTCCACTCTATACAAAATGGGAGGAAGAGTCGCAAATATGGGCAATGCCACAGACACTCGCAGCGAAGACACTGCCAAGGACGTGGACTCAAGACTATCTGCCGTCATGCGCAAACAAAAGGGGGCGCCGGAACCTGAGCCAGAACCAGAGCCAGAGCCAGAACCAAAACAAGAAGAACAATCCGCATTCAGTCGTTTGAAGCCCTTCAATCTGCTGCGAAAAAACACAATCACGGAGCAACCAGAAACAACCAAACAGAAACAACAAGTCGAAGTATCCGAATCAGAGCCGGAATCTGAACCAGAGCCGGAATCAGAGTCGGAATCGGAATCAAACTATGTTCCTGCAGCTTCTCCCAATCCATCACGTCCCATTCGAAGCAGAGACACGAGGCGTACTGGAGCCAGACGTCAACATACCCGCAATGATGACCAAGACGAAGACGAGGACGAGGATCCGAGTCAGAGTGGAAGTAGAAATGCCAGACGACAACGAGCCAGACGACAACATTCACGCGATGATGATAAAGACGAATCCGAACGACCCTCGCCACGACAGAGTGATGCCAGGAAGACACGGCAGAAAAAAGACGGAGAACCGGTCCGACGCCGCAATGATGGGCCGCCACGTAAAACGTCGAGCGGAGATGGAAAAAGACGCACCAGTAACAACAAACTTGCCAACGGAGAAAAAAGCAAGCCAAGGCGTCATTCTTCTCGTGATGACGAAGATGGTCCTGGTGGGGACGGTTCTCAACAAAGACGACAACGAGCCACACGGACTCGTTCCAATGGCAACGAAGCAAAAAAGGGAGCTTCCAGTGGCCGTCGACGAATTGACGATTCTTCTCGTGGGGACGATGATGGTCTTGTGGACGGTTCACAGCAAAGACGACCACGAGCCACACGGACTCGTTCCAATGGCGACGAAGCGAAAAAGGGCGGCGGTGAACGGCGTCGTCGCCCCGAAGGAGGCACCAAGGACAGGCCCAGGAAAAACAGTGACAATCGCAAACCGAGAAGCAAGGATGAAAGCAATGCCCGCGAAAGAAAATCGGCCACAGGGTCTGCTCTTAGCAAGATTGCCACGGATGGTGATGGTGACGGTGACGGCGATTTCCAGACAACTGCCACAGGCTCTGCACTCAGCAAATTGGCACAGATTTCGTTCAACTAGCTGATAGCAAGGTGGTACCGGTAGGTAGCACAGTTAGTTTTGGATGAGAAAGGCAGTGAGATCAATGACTGGTGTTACGACCAACACCGGGATAGATATGACTGTCACTCGGAAGAAAGGAATGAAGTAGGATATTTTTTAAAAGGTGGCACTGAATGAAAACTTTTGGTCTGGTATGAATGAATGTGGAGTCTCAAATCAAGACGAAAATTACCCACTAGCTAGTACCTCTCTAAACCCCCGTTCTCTACTTGAGAAAAATAAAAAGTAAATCAAAATTGTGGGAAATGAAGAGATCTTTGAAGTACACATAGCGAGGACGAGAGATTTGAAGTCTGCACGCAAAGTTGTAAGAACCATCACCTTGAGCAGCTTGCGTCCCGTCCTACTAGCTAGGAGTTTGTAGTACTTCATCCTGATAGGCTGTTGAGGCAAGTGTCCTCGTGCATTCCAAGGATTGCGACTGCACTGGTACATTTTTTGAAGTGCTTATCCAGTTGTCAATCTTTGTTCGTGTTGAGTCCAGCTGGGATGAAGCTACGGTACGTACATGTAAAATGAGCACACTATTTTGTGATGATTCTTCAATCTTTATGTAGTGTAGTTAGCTGCTGTTTGCTACATGTACTGTATCATAATCCATGAGCAACCATGGGACCCAACCTCGATCAAAAATATTATGTGCAAACCAAAGTGGTTGACCGTCGGTGGATGATTAGATAACTGTAGCGCAGCACCAGTATAGCAGAGGTGGGTAAAACTTGTGTGCGTGTGGTGCGGTGCGTTTGTGTGTGTGTGTGTTGAAGTGGTGAGTGAAATGTGAACCCAATCTGTACAAATATTCCCCAAAACGTTACAAAAATGCAAGAAAAAGAAACTGAAGTGCAAAAATGAATGCGTGATCCTGGTACCAGTAGCTATAGTGATACCAAGGGAATGCCATTCGAATGAATCGAATCACCATCGTTGCTGAGCCGACATGACGCGGCAAAAATGTAGCTTGAGGTTGTTGGGAGCACCCCCCAGCATGGCGTTGCTGCTTGTACCAGCATGAAGGTTCTTGTGTGATGTGGGACGCGTCTTGCTCCTGTTGGACCAGGTTGGGACCGACTGCGTCTGTCGTCGTCGTGGATGCGACGCCAGCACGTGTACGGGATGAATGAGGATTCCCCGTTCCGTTCGTACAAAGGCTTCTTCCTCGAGGCACTGTCGATAATCGTAGTTTTCGGTTTTGAACTCTGCGACATTGCGAGAATAGTTTCGTTTCATTTGGTCGCTTGTGATCCATAGTCTTTGACGTGTCCGTGAGGACATGGAATCCCGCGATGGAATGTCGTGAACCTGATCCTTGGCATTGGTGAATGTGACCCTTTTGCTGACTGTTCGATGGCAACTAGTAGGAGGTTTTAGACAGCTGAGGGGTGGATCTTGAGTGGTACGAGACAGAGCTGAAGAGCCTGAAGAAGAGAAGGAAGACGTCGTGGTATCAGTAGTGACACTTGTGCTGGAGTGACAGTCGTAGTCGTAGTCGTCGTCTTGGGAAGACCAACTTGAGGTGTGCCTGCAACGGACTTGTTGGGTCGAGATTGTGTCATTGGTATGTGCACGGCGTGGGAGTCGCTTTGAGTCACGGTTAATGGTGACTGAAGTTCCAATGAGGCTGATGTTAGGGTTAGAGGTTTGAATGGAAGAAGAAATGCCGAGGGTGGTCAAGTAGTTGGACCGAATTTGCAGGCCTCGTCTTTGCGCTTGTGCTCTGCTGCTCTTCATACTCTTCGTACTGCTAGTACTAGTACTAGTAGACGAACATGTGGATGCAGTGAAGGCATCAGGTCCAGACGCGCCATCGTCAGACTCATCAGAAGGAAGTTCCACCGTTGGCTTGTGTTGGCTCTGTCGGCATTGGCCGTTGTTTTTGTTTTTGTTCTTGGAGTGGTCGTGCAACGGTGGAAGACTTCGGCTGCCAATGACAGCGCTAACGGCGGAGGAAGAGTTCATGGTGGCGATGGTACAGATGCACATTACAACAATTGCAACAATGCAAGAGCTTCATTCCACTCCTCTACTTCATTACATGAATGCCACACTACAGTACCTGGTAGCTAGAGCTGATACGGAAGTTGGTGTACATGTGGTGTGAAAAAAGGTGTTTGTTCTGATGGCTCTTTCATTTTTTCGCATTTGTTCTCGAATCTGTCAACAATCGTGATTCAATTCAACGAATCATGCAGGAGCAATTTCAGAGCTGGCGCCCCAAAACGGTAAAAATAGTTTTGGGGTGCAACTCCACTAACAAATAGAAGCAACTAGAGCGTATATTGTTGCACCTCTTTTGTGGAACGGTCTTGTTCTGATTTGCTTCTTCCAAACAGATCGAAGATGCCGGAGCACCTTTTAACCGATTCCTACTCCCAGCAATTCAATCACTCAATCTATAACTCAATCATTATTATTCCTTTCAAGCCTCCTGCTTGGTTGCAACACGTCGAGTCGAGTCATTCTTCCGCCGGCCTAAACAGAACTGTGAAAAGGCAATGTGGCGGAAACCGAACTTCTCCAGAAAAGATGAAATTGCAAACCCAGCTTCGCTTCACGCAAGGCCAAAGGCTCGTAGTGGTGGATCCCACATTTTGCTTCAACTTAGTTACCATGTAGTCCAGAATGGTGTGGTTGCAACGTTGCATCTTGCATGATGATAGAGAAGGGATGGATGAATGGGTTCTGATGAGTTTTTATCCGCTTGGCTACTGAGTTACGAGTAGTTAGCTAGATCTAGAGGCGCAGTTCGAAGACAAATATCTATCCAGGGATTGATTGGACTACTTCACTTGTCCTGTACTAGTAATGAGTAGCCATGACTCCAAACGGAGGAGCAATGTGGTGTGTGGTAGCACACATGCATACATACGGTACTCCTGATTAGTCTGGTTGCCACTGCAGATAGTGCTACCGTACCGGGGCCAACCACCCATTGCTCTGAGCAGCCAGCCACAAAAGGAAGAGGACAATCGTGTCCCTTTATAATTGATTTATCTGCCAGTGGCTGGCTTGGGAAAAGTTCTCTGCTTTTATTGCATTGTGGTCAAGCAAGGAGTTTCTTGCCAGCCCATTATTTGTGTTTTAGAGTTTTATAACTGTGAGTGAGTTGAATAGTTGAATGCGTCTTTGCCGCTGCCAAGTGCCAAGAAGGCAATGATTATGAATAATAATTGTTCATTGTTCATAGTTAGTCTACCTCGTGTTGTTGGGTCGTCCCAAGCTTCCAGGTTGTTGCTTGGAACCTTCGTTGGAAGGGTTGGGGTTCTAATGGTGGCAGCTATGGCAGCTGTTTTTAGCTTGCGTGGCAGCAAAGAAACCTTCCTTGGCGCTTCTGTAGCTTTCTTTAAAGCACACCACGAATCCGGTGGACCAAGTAAGTGGAAGTTCACCAGCTGTTCACCTTTCTGCCATTAATAGCCAATATGTCAATCCTTTGAGATTCTTAACTCATACGGTCACTACTCTTATAGTTGGACTCTCGTCATCAGAAACTGCATACAGTATCATTAAGCCAGTATCCGAAAGTGGCGTCAATTGGCAGCTATTGGCTTAGAAAGGAAGAATACATGGGTCTTGGATCAATTAAAGAGTCTTCCAGAACCGCCACGCAAGGTCATTCAGAATAGAAAGTGACCACTGAAAAGCTGTCACAAAGCTGTCCAGGTGAACTGTGATTTCCCCTCCTGTTACCAGTATTGGTACAAGCTCAAAAGCTCCTCATTATTCGTTTGACCGCACAAAAAGCAACGGCTCTTCTTTGCTATCAAGCTCTGGCTAGCTAGCAACACAACAACACAACAACAGCGGCAACAAACAGAGATCGATAGAGCTGTCGTATACCACTTCCCACCAAAGCTACCATACCTCTTAGTCATACTGTACTCTTGCTCTTGCCATGTCTACTACTAGCGGTACTACTAGCACCACACGCACAGGTGGAGAAGAAGAATTGGCCAAATCGGCTCTTTTGGAAGTTTTGCAGAATATTTCTTGTCATTTGCCACGTAGCGTTCTACTGGAGTGTATTCAGCAAGTGAGGAAGAGAAATTCTAATGCTGAAGATGAGCAACGGCAAGATGGACTTGACCTTTCCCACTCCTTGCAAGGTCTGCGAAAGCGGTCTTCTTTGGACGCACAGGATATCCTTAGCCTTAACCCTACTTCTCAATGTCTGTCCCCCATGGGATCGGGAAGCAGGAAGAGTGGAACGGACAATCAGTCCAGGTCCTCCCTATTGACTCTGCTGTCAGCGAGCAGCCGCAACTTCTTCGCCATGCAAAAGTCGGCCCAAGATTTGTTTGGAGCTAGCTATGACAGTACAGGTACAGGTGCAAGTACCGGTGCAAGTACAGGTGCCAATACCAGTCAAGACAAAGACGTATGTCGAACGGGCCTGGCTCATCAGATGCTCTGTTCTGGTCGTGGTACAGGGGCTACGTTTTCCATTTGTACCACCACCGGGACATCGGCCGCTACCATCACGGATCAGAGCTCTGTCTATACTTCCTTCAGTAACACCGATTCCACCTTTCTCTCACACGCAAGTCCACATGCACAGCTTGTCAGGACCCTCAAGTCCGTAGAACGAATGCTCGAAGAAGACATGTCCATGTCGTCGTCTTCGAGTAACCAAACCCAAAGCGACGACGACGATGATGACGACGACGACGACGACGACGACGATTCACAAGAAGAAGACGAGGATCCAAATGACAGCTCTTCCTCGTTCCTTTCCAGCAGTGATTCGACCTTTATCGAACAGCTGAGCTTGGAGTTCGATTTCATGGATACATCTCTCGCAGAACAAGAAGAACAGGAAAACACAAACACGGAAGCCGGGGCGGCCGCATCGGTCGTATCCAAAGATGTCAGTCCCAAGCCAAACATGCATCGACGCTTCACTGGACTCAGACGAGCTTCGCTCACACCCGCGGCTCAAGGACTCATCGCTGGTTCTTCACAGCAACTGAAACAAGACAGACAACCTTCACCGGCGTTGAGACGCACCGTCTCATTCAACTCGCAAGATTCCGAACGCCCACGACGGTCTCTGCGACGATCCACCAAGCAGCACGCACAACATCAACAACAAGACGATGATACGGCAAGTGTCTCCAAACTGAGGCAAGGACGATTATCTTGTCGCAGCAATGCCAACGGAGACGCTGCCGCCGATCAACGTTCCGTAGCGGGAAGCATATTTAGTAGACGATCCATCAACAGTCACCAGTCGTCATTGGCCACAAACGATACCGGGAACAGTACGGTCCATCCGTCGAGGCAAACACCACATCAACCAACCATGCCCGTACGGCTTGCAACAAGTCGATACTCGGGAGCACTCGTCTTTTGTGACATTTCGGGCTTTAGTCGATTGTCAACCATGCTGCCGGTGGAAGCATTCTCCAATATCGTGCATGACTACTTTCGAAAGATTGTACAGCAAATCGAACTGCATGGAGGAGACATCTTAAAGTTCGCTGGTGATGCCATCATAGCAGAATGGAAGGTCACGATCGGATCCGACGACGACAACACGACTACTCGAACGCCACGACAAGCTGTATACGCAGCGGCGCTCTGTGCCTCCAACCTAGTTGATTGTATGTCCGATGTTTCCGTAAAAATGCCAGAAAAGTTGACGGATCCACAAGAGCATGTCATTGGTATGAGAATACCCATTCGAACGCCAATGCATCAACACAACAATCACGATCTGACATCGGATCCAACCCTCAATTTACACGCAGCTGTTGGTTTCGGGGACATTGTTCAATGTCACCCAGGCGACGGGGACCGCGTGGAACTGCTTGTACTTGGAGATGCGTTACGACAAATCACCGAAGCAGTCAACAAAGCCAGGCTGGGACAAGTTGTCGTATCTCCAGAAGTGGCACGCCTACTACGAGATGTCGTGGATATTCGACGGCCCCCCGTCGGATCGGGAGGAGCTGTCACAGACGACGAAAACGGTCGGGTTACTGTCATTGCCTACAAAAAGGAACGATTCATACGGGTCAAACCGGAGGTGAGTGGCAAATTGCTTGCGGGCGATGCACAGTACGGAATCTGCGGCTCAATTGACGACAAACACTGACTTGACTGCTATCATTCATGTATCTTTTGGACAAGGCTTGCAAATTGGCGACATCCTCCATTCAACCCTTCCATGGATCAAGCAAGGAAGCAGTTCAAGGTTGTAAGGATTTCTCTGTTGCCAATTTACAGGAGCTATATTTGAGAACCGCACCGTACCTGCATCCAGTAGCCCTGTTTCATGAGGTATCCAACACTGAAGCTTCGGCGATGGCAGTTGCAGAATCTCAAAGACGATCGAGTTTCCTCTTTCATCAGCAACAAAGTCACCTCTCCCTAGCAGAACTGAGAGATGTTTGTACCATCTTTATCCAGCCGGAACTTCCCCAAGAATGGCTCACTGGAAAAGATGCCGGCAACGAAGAAGCGTTGAAAAAGCTCAACCTCATCATGCTCATTGCTTCAAGCGAGGCGGACCGATTCTCAGCCCATCTTAGACAATTCATCGTGGATGACAAGGGTAAGTACCAATTCTTCCCAAATTTCTTACTTCCATAACTGCAATCTGACGCCATCTGTCCATGATCTATCTGTTCTGCCTCCTTCAACCATTTCACGTCAACGTCCTTCGCAACGGCCAACACGACCTCTATCTTAGGTCTGGTGATCATCGTAAACTTTGGGTTACGAGGCTCCACATTTCCGAATCAAGTCGCCGAACGCGTCATGCCCTTCATGGATCATGTGAAAGTTTTACTGAGGAGTGAACTAGAAATAGAATGCCGAATCGGAACAACTCATGGGAGGGCCTATTGTGGATTGGTAGCACCAGGAGACCGAACCGAGTATACCGTGTTGGGACCCAGCGTGAACTTGGCTGCTCGGTTAATGACACACGTCCGAAATCCTGGCATTATGGTTGATGAGGCCATCCGCATAAAGGCGGGGGATCGCCCCTTCAGATCTCTTTGTCCTATTCGCGCCAAAGGATACAGCACTTATATACGGATCTTCATTCCCGAGACGACAGAGCGTACCGGTTGGAAAGATTCGGGATCTTGCTTCGTTGGACGGCATGAAAATACGCAATCAATCCTCGAGATGGCCAAAGCTGTGATGGATTCTACGAATCGATGGAACCCGCACTATGGTCTTGGCGGCGGGCAATCGAGAATTGTGTTTTTAGAGGGTGGATATGGATTGGGCAAGACAGCCCTCTTATCGCAAGCAACCATAGGAATCGAGGCACTGTTGAATGCGCAACAGGCGAAACATATGGTCTGGCGGCAATTGTGCTGTGATGAAGACAGTTTCAAGCCCTTCAGCATTGTCCGTCCGCTTTTCCTAGATATCTTACGACGAAAGAAAGAGCAAGAGACTCACTTTCATTCCGTCAAGCTCGTGGGGCACTCCGTCTCGCACGAAGCATGTGAGATCGACGAAGCGCGGATGTACGTCACGCTGCTGCATGTTTGTCTGGATGCCAGGGTTCCTCTGCATTATGTGGAAGCAATGGCTGGGCTGATTTTTTCCACCAAGCTGTCAGATATTGGGACCTGGTCAGACGCAGCAACCAGGATGGATGAATGGAATCGTTTGGCCAAGTACATCTGCCAGGTGTTGATCCTTTGTACGCGCCAAGAAAGATTAGTCTTCTTGGCTCTTGACAACGTCTCTGGCTTGGATGAAATGTCTTGGAAGTTGTTGCAGGGACTCTTTTATTGCGCTTCCAATGTCCTGATTCTTGGTGCCGCCAGGACAGAACACGATCTGAACATCAATCCTACGTGCTGGAGAGACCTGAATTGTCTCCACGAAAAGGAGGAAGGAGAAGCGCGGTTCCGTCGCATCAAGCTGGAGCCTTTGATTGAATCGGAGGTTTCGGAGCTTGTGACGAACCGCATGGACGCTGCGAATGACGCAGGAACTTCGAAAGATATTGTCGCCCACACCGTGTTTCTCGAATCCAAGGGCAACCCGTTGCTCGCCAATGAGATATTGGACATTTTGTATCCCTCTACTGCCGCCAACAGCCCAAACAAAATCGACACACGAGCATACACTACCGCGAGCAACGTAGATGAACTGGTCCTGAACCGTCTGGATAGTCTTGCTCCAGCGGTACGGTTTGTCGTCGACCTGGGGGCGTTACTGGGTTCGCCCTTCTCGTTGCTGGATATCGTTGCTGTCCTGGAACGATATCACAACATGCCGACGACTGACACGACGACTTATGGAATGGCGAAGCTGAATCTTCAAGTGGCAGTCGAAAACGGTCTGCTGACGACGTCATTTGATGAATACCAAGGAATCTCCTACACATTCTCGCATACCATGTGGCAGGAGACGATCTCCCGGCAGAATCTAGACAGTTGGAAGGAGCAAATGCGCCAGCTGATCGATGAAGTTTTGCCCGAGAACGATCCAACAAAGACTGAGCTGGAGGCTGGTGGTGGGCTACCAAAATTGATATCTTTTGGCAACTTGGCCGAGCTGGACGATGAGGAGTGTGGCAAGAAGGACGCTGCATTAGAAGATCAGGACGACCATTTGGACGGCAGTGCCAACGAGCAGAACGTGAAACGCCTGAGGGCCATGGCTAAAATGTTCCGACGCAAGTACAAATCCAGTGGCCGAAAAGGTGCGAGTGAAACAGTACGGAAACTGAAAGGACTCCTCGGTGGCAGTCGCAAGAAACGGGCCAAGTCTTCTAAGCTTGGTGCTCGATTGAGTGACTGACCAAACTGGGTACGCGGTTTTTCTATACCGGTAGCTATAGTACCTAGCTATAGCCAGAAAGAAAGACAGTGGAAAGTGGACAAGCACTATGTCCTGAGTAAAACCGCGCTTAAGACTAGGAAGTTTCGTTGAACTGTGCGCGTGCGCATTGTTTGGAATCTCTACTACTAGTATGATTGGATATTTTCAAAACAGTCGAACGGCGTCTTCGTGGTGCCTCGAGTGCTGTTGCGAGAAGAGCCTAGAGGCAGGGGGCTCGTTCGAGTTGGACCTCGAATCTACCGGTACCTGGTAATGAAACGACTAGGGAGACGTAGAAATACCCCCTATAGCATACAATTTGCGCGTGACCATTTCCTACCCCACCATGTCGATCCCAAGATCGGACTCGACTCACTCTGCTCGCAGCTGTGGTTCAATGGGTACCAGTACGAAGGTATCCCTCAGCACGTCCGGTACAATTACGGTAACTTTTACGGTACAACTAAATGTGTGCATAAGTTTGTGTTTGGATCCAAATTGTGAGGATCGTGCGAAGGTTGGCGGACTCTCAGAACAGAGTACTGGTACCTTGCGAGTACCGGTGGGTTTGGATGTGTCTTGGCTGTTGTTGAGGCTCGGCGCTGGGTCAGAACCGTTGCGATTTCCGCAGTGCTTGACGACAACTGTTTCAAGAAATCGCTAGCTAGCGCTATTGTTTACACGACCAACCAACCAACCAACCAACCAACCAACCATGGCCAAGCCGAAACCCAAAGCCGTCTACTTGCTACTTGTTTCCTTGGTGGTGCCCTCAGATGCGACCTTGTTGCCCCGGAACAACGCAACGAGCAGCAAGGCGGTCCGAAGCTGCGCCCTTCAAGATGACAGGAGTGGGGATGCCTCTCTCCTGAACCAACTGATCGCACTCGCAGTTCCAACCGTGAATGAAGCCATAAAGAGGTTTGCACCTGATCCCTTGAAGCTAGATCTATCTGGGTCGATCAATACAGGAAGCTTGGATATCGCCGGTTGCATAGAACCGCACCCGAGTGCTTGAGGCTCCAGCTACAGTGTGGCTAGCTAGTCAGGTACCTGAATTTCCGTGAAATCAGATTCCTGACGTTGCTACAGATGTGTTTGCCAACCCACTGGCTTGCTTCACTGGACACAAACAACACAACACCGGACACAAGCACTTTTCGGTACGATCGTATGACCGGTTGCCATCTGGACGCAGTAGTAAAGTGCACAGTGGTTTCCAGTATGCATGTACACAGTTCAGTGGAAAAATTTAGCCATTTTGGCACGGGGTTGAAAGAGAGCGTGTTTGACAATAGTACTAGTATCTTGGGATCTTGGGTATTCTGCCGTTGTTTTGAATCTTTATTCCCCCATCTTTTCAATCAAGAAAGAAAGAAAAAGAACTTGTGGTCTTGTGGTGGTCGACACTACTTTCGCAAATCTGAAGGGGAGAGTGGTTCCGGTAGACTTAGTACTGTAAATGGACTGTAAGTCAACTTCTCCGACGGGACCATTGACGCTGGAGAACGAAGAAGGAGCAGAAAAAAGATCGTTGTGGTTGAGCCAAACTTCTAGCTCTAGCTAGCCAGTAGATACCGTAGCTAGCTAATAGCCAGCTAAAGCTAAAGCGGAAGTAGCCAAAAGACCGAATGCATGCTTCCCACTCTTTTGTTGCTCAATTGTTGTTTCTTGTTTGATACAGCAAACCACCAACAGAAGAAGAAGACTCTATTTGCGAGAAGCAAGAAGACAGACAAGATCAAGTGAGCAAGCAGCAAGCAGCCTTTTAAAACTTTGATAAGTACAGTAGGACGCGTTGCCTCTGTTTGTTGCCGTTGCTACTGCCGTTGTTTGCCGTTGTTTGTTGGTCGACATCGACATCGACATCGACGTTGACATCGACATCCATATCAAACTAAACGAAAAACCAGAAAATTAAAACAGAAATCCTCAAGCTCAAGATCAAGATGAAGATGAAGGCGAAGACGTTGCTGAGCCTTCTGCTCGGACTCTCGATCTCAGTCGAGAATCTTACCAAGGCTCAGGATGTCCTTCCTGTACCCACTGGTGCGGGTTCTACTGGTGCCACTACTGATCACCAAGACATGGTTGCTTTTGCTGAGGCCATCTTGAATCCTGATCCCGACTCGGAAGCTGACGCCATCTACGATTCCTATGATTCCTATGAAGACAAAGATGACCTTGAAGAAGAAGACGACGAGCAAGCTGTGGTTGCTAAGCCAGATGAACAAGATCTCACGGAAGACACGAACAAGGGCATGGACATGGACATGGACGCTCTTGGCTCTGCCTTTGATACGGCTACCGCTTCTCTTTCCGCCATGGATACTACTGATCCCAAGGCCATTCCTGACCCTACCCGTACCCTCGGGATTAAGAAAGACATCAACCCGCAGGTGGATGCCCATGACCGTCAGACTTCCACCAACAGGATCACCAAACCAGACAAAATCATCGTTATGGGCCATACCAGTACTAGTACCGAATTCAAACAGGACACCGACGACATCACTGAATCCGTCAAGGCGTCCACAACCGACCACCACGAACAAGAACAAGATCAAGGTTCGCTCATCTACGACCTCAGTAACAAGATGGACGTCGAGTCCAGTTTGGAAGCCATGAAGAGGAGGGCGGCTGCAGACTACCAAGTCAGCCCAAACAAGAACCAAGAAGAAGAAGAAGAAGAAGAAGAAGAAGAAGCAGACACCGACGATGCCGTCAGTGTCCGTCGTCATGGCAGAAGGTTGGATGAAACCACCGACTGGTTGATTGGAAATACACGCATGTATGGACCTAGAGAGACTGCTAGCCTACCCGATGAAATTAGCTATGCCAATGGATGGACTAATGCCCAAAACTTTTGCAAGGAACAAGGCGGATCTCTGGCTTCTATCAAGGAAATTTGCCCCCCAGATGGAACCACCAATGGGATGCCTCTCTTTGGAATGCAGGTAAGTTCCATACATGCATCATGCCTTATCTAATGCCTACATGGCTCTCGGGCCTTTGCCATTGTACCACTACCCACCTCTCACCCTCTCTCATTTCTCTTTCTCTCTCTCTCTTTTTGGAATACAGGGTGGAGATCAGTGAGCTCCCATTTCCGATGGCGAAAATCAGTGGGTTAATGTGGGAAGTGGGGGTCAGCAGACCTGTCTTAAAATTGACATGACAGGAGCAGACCCACCTCTTTTCAAGATACAACATCGCAATGGAGGGAGCAACTATGTCATTTGTAATAATTGGTACAAGCTTGGGGCCACCCAGGTCAGGGATATTGGCGCTGCTGAAGATGGCACCATATGGGCGGTAAGTGCGATCCGTCGATCATGCCTTGATAATGCCTACATTGCTCTTCACCTTCTTCATTGTATCATCACAAACCAACCCTCACTCTGTTATATATGACTCTCTATCTATCACTTCCCTCCCTCCCTCCCTCCCTCCCTCTATCTCTCATTCTCATGGTGGGGCAGATTGGAACTCATGATTATGGCAATGGCTGTTACAGCATCCACCGCAACACAGGTGGAGATGCTTGGGATCACATTGCTGGATGTTCGCACAGAGTTTCGGTTGGGAGCAGCACGAACTGTTGTTTGCTAGTAATACTGCAGCTTATTGGGGAGTAATTTGGTTTTAGATTAAGCTGAAAAG